GGACTCCTTTTTAAGTGTGACTCAAGTGACCACTCCTGTTTTTCCTTGGGAGTATGGTTTCAGGTCATTTTATAGGACTTCTTTGGCAAAATTGGCTTTCTGGCTCTTGATCTTGCATCTGGCACATAGAGTCTGACCTCCATTTTGTGGGACATACTGTCTTTCACCTGATCTGATTCACCAGCTGGCACTGCTTCATGCATCAACAGCCTGTCATCCAGTCTGCTAATTTGGGTTCTTTAGCTCCTGAGATAATGTAGGTGAGGAAAATCCAGCAGACTGTGCTCTGGACTACACATTTGGGACTTGCCAGCCTCCACAATTGTGAACAGCATTTCTTTTGAGAGTTGTGAGTTCTGTGAAACATTGTAACATATTACAGAACCTTGGGACATGAGGGGAGGAGGAGTGGTGATAAAGGAGTGGTGTAACATGCTAGAAGGAGTGGCTATGAAGTTGGTTAATGGTTAGGAATCCAAATCTCAAGGTCATCAGTAAGACTACCAGCTGTTCTGTGGGAGAAAGGTGTGGCTTTCTGCCTCTGTACAGATTTACAGCCTCAGAACCCCATCCTGGGTCACTATGACTTGAAACTGACTCCATGGCACATAACCAGCATCACCATAACATGTTGGGAATTTGGGATGTATGGGGTTAACTTTAACCTCCAATACATAAGAACCAGGCTTGTGCTAATTTTTCAAAAAAAAACAAACAAACAACAAATTCATTCATGCAACAGTTTACCAAGAACAGTTGTTAAGAACAAGCTTAAAAGTTAGCGTTTACTTTCTACTACTTTTTGCTTTAATATAGGTATAACTGATTCAAGAAAAAGAAAAAGAAAACTGGCTTAAAAGTGTTGCATAAATACTAAACTACCCCTCTTTGGTTGCTTTCAAACTCTTGGTTATATTTTAAAGTAGATTGCAATGTTGGAAGCATTTGAATCTGTCCACACCAAACACAAGAATAGAAAATCAGTCCTTAATTGTGATTCCTGAAGCAGTTCTTAATTAGGGACTTTTCGCCTCTCTTCAAATCAATACAGAACTGGTTTGAACAAATACATATTTCTAAGAACCAACCTAAAGAATCTTCATGTTCCCCAATGAGGTACTGATACAGATGGCCTTACACTAGCTTTGAGAAGTCCTGAGGTTTCTGGGAAGGGACTAGGTAACACTCTGTTCTCCCCACCTCATCCCCACCCCCAACTCTCAACTCCATATCGCTAACTCTCTTGAGCTAAGCAGCTTTTGGTACTGAGAAATATCTGGTTCCAGGTAAGATCTTAGACTCTTACCATGGGTCTAAATCGTTTTCCTTCCTATGTCAACTATGAAGGCAATGTAGAGACCAGGACAGAGAGCCAAGTGGCCAGGACAGAAGGGCTCAACCTGAAAAGGTGGCTTTCACAGATTTGGCTTGGTGTGGTACTGTAGGATAAGTCCTGGATTGCTCACCACAAGGTCAGTGGTTCAAAGCCACCAGCTGCTCCTCAGAAACCCTATTCATGGTCACTATGAGTCAAAACCAATTCCATGGCACTTAACAACAAAAACAAGAAGTGAGGCTGGGCTCAGCCTTCTGGGCGTCATGACCACAATTAGTCAAAGAAAAGCTGCACTGAAAGTGCTGAATCTTCGTATATCTGATTCTGGTACAGTATATGAGGTAGAAGAATCATGGATTAGAGAAAGCTCTGGCAGGACACCTGCTGCTTCACCGAGTTAGCGTACTTAGTTAGGCTCCCTACATTCACAACTGTCTCCTAGGTACCATCATATTCTGATCTGACAAAACAGAAGTACCATAAGCACACACTCCAGGTGTCTAAGCACTTAAGGGGAAAAACTTCAGCAGTACAGACACTTACTTAAATAAATAAACCCACTGGAGGAATCAAAAACACATGAAGGAGACTGAGTGTCACCATAGGCTGCTAAAGGGACATTTGCTAGTTTGAACCCACCAGTGCATGCACAGAAGAACATGAAGCAGTCTGCTTCTGTAAAGATTTGCAGCCTTGGAAACTCTATGAGGCCTTCTACTCCAGCCTATAAGGTTGGGATGAGTTGGATCAACTCAATGACAGTGGGTTTGGTTTTGAAATAGTAATGAGATTTGTATCTATACACAGCACTGAAACCAAGCAATGTGATGTCTTCACGGATAACATTGATTATATAACTTGAGAGAGTCAGTGTTTACTGACTAGATACAAATACTGACAGAGAAGAAAAGTCACCAACAGAAGAAACAAGAGATGGAGGAGGAAATCTATAAGCAAAAGACATGGAACTTAAAAACTATGTCCAAACATATTCTGCAAAGACAATGTTCTATGTCCTACTTTAGTTGAGTAGTGAGTGGGGTTTTAAAGGCTCATAAGTAGTCACCAATGATGTAGCTATTGGTCCCTCCCTGTCCAAAGAAAGGAAAAGTGATGAAAATTAAAAACACATAGAAACAATTTGTGAACTAATTGGACTAATGAACCACGTGAACAGCAGTCTCCATAATCTTAAGAACAAAAGGATTAGATGGTGCTTAGCTGCCACTAACATCTCTTCTAAAAAGGATCACATTAGAAGGTCCTGGATAGAGTGAGAGAAAAATGTGAAACAAAAATCAAAATCATGTGGGGGGTGGGGAAACACACTTGCTGGCCAGAGAGAGACTAATAAAATCATGAGGCTGTACTCCTCAGTCACTTCAGGTTCAGCGCGGAATTCATTCCTGTGGCTCAATTTTCACCAAACAATGTTGTTGCTGTTACTAAGTGCTGTCAAGTCAGTCTCAAATCACAGCAACCCTGTTTAGGGTTTCTGAGGAGAGGCTGGTGGGATTGAGCCACCAACCTTATGGTTATCGTACTGATTCACACCAGCCAAATGTAGACAGGTCTATAAGGGGAACACCAGCACTCATGAGGTACACACAAATTAGTCAACCATTTGAGACCAATGGGGCAACATTTACCCAAGGCTATAATTCCAAAGGTTTGAAAAAGAGGCAATAATGGAAACAAGAGACACAGAGAGGCAGTGTCATAAGGGACGCTGCATTGTCAGGATTGAAATCAGTGAGATGAAACAAAATGCATGTGAATTGTTGAATGTGCTGCTTTGTAAATGTTTACACACTCACAATTAAAAGTTAAAAGAAAGAAATGAGTCAAGACAATCTAATGTGACTGCAGTAGTAGTTCTAGAAGGACAATAAGTAAAAAATGAATATGGGAAATGGTTAGAGCAAAAATGGAAGGTAATCACCCTGAATTGAAAAAAGATGTATGACTGTAGGCTTGACTGGGAAAAAAAGTAACAAGAAAGGGAAAAAAAAAATCTCTCCACTCCAAGAATAAGAACAAAAGTTTTGTAAGATTTCAGACAGAAAAAGTTACCTACAAGGGAAAAAGAACCAAATAAACAGATCCAAATAAGACTTAATGCCTGGAAACTAAACGACTCAAAGAACTATCTATCGACAGTTGTGTGAGAAGGCCTACACCCGGAGAAAGTGATAACAACTCAGATACCATTCCCCAAGCTGGACAAAAAGAAGACAAATGTTTGCTCCTTTACCAGGATCACTCCATATATGATATGGGAAGAAACTTAAAAAATAAATTAAAAGACTCACAAATACTGAAGTCTTGAGATGAATTGAGCAAACAGGAGGAAAGGAAACAAGTGGTAAGCAAACATTTTTCTATATGCTAGAATTCATGTCTATATTCCCCAATTTAACTCTTTAACTCTATGATGAAGGAGTCCTGATGTGGCACTGTAGGACAGTAAGCACTGGGCAGAAAGTTTGGTTTGAACTACAAGGCCAGCAGTTCGAACTCCCCAGCCACTCTTCAGAAACCCTATACAGGAACTCAGTGAGTCAGAACTGACTAGATGGTGCAAACAACAACAATATACAGTGAAAGGAGTCATGGTGGTGAAGGGTTAAGTATTCAATTGCTAACAAGGAGGTTGGCAGTTCAAATTCACCAATTGCTTTGTAGGAGAAAAATGTGATAGTCAGCTTTTGAAAAGATGTACAGTCTTGAAAACTCTGTGAAGACAGTTCCACTAGATGGCAATGAGTTAAATACACAGTTATAGTCAGATGGAGTTAGGCAACATATGTACACACAGATTTAAACATGGAGTTCAATACAGTGGTTAGTGGTTATGTGCCATGGAGTCGGTTCCTACTCAAAAAAAAAAAAAAAAAAAAGTTGGTTACAAATCTTTATGGGAGCAGAAAGCCTCATCTTTCCCCTTTAGAGCAGCTGGTAGATTTGAAATGCTGACTTTGTGATTAGCAGCCCAGCTGTTAAAATACTATGCTACCAGAGTTCCATGTGGTAATACGTAAAAAGTATCCTTGGACAAAAAAGAAAATCACATGTTAAAAAGGTAACAGATTAGATCAGTGGAAAAGGAAAGACTGTTCAAGAAATAAAACAAACAGTGATTTAAATACCTATCATATTAAAATTTAAAAATCAACTCCATATAGTTTGGGCTTGACACATATGAAACAAGGCCTGCATATTCTGACCTATGGCATCTGTCTGTGATTCATGCCATGGATACTAGCAAAAACTTGTCAAAAGTTATCCTTCTTAACTCAAATTAAAAAAAAAAAAAAAACCTCAGTGACACTGAGCCAAATCGGACTCATAGAAACTCTTTAGGACAAAGCAGAATTGATCCTTAGGATTTATGAAACTGTAAATCTTTACAGACTCACACAGCTCCATTTTTCTTCCATTGAGCAGGTGAGGGGTTTGAACCAACAACCTTGTGGTTAGTAGAACAATGTTTTACCCACTGTGCCACCAGGACTCTCTTGTTAAGTCATACCTCTAAACTAATGAAAATCACATTTATATTTAAATTTTTCACTTCAGATTTTACGTACAAAAGTCTTAAAAACATCAAGTTAGTTGTTATTTGTAATCTATCCTGACATTATTTTGAAGCAAAAGCTCTTACCTGAAAAAATATGTCTCTGCCCTCTCATAGTGGCCCGGTGCCAGTTTGAGGGGAGGGTAGTTGACAGCCAAAGGCCTTACCATGAACAAACCCATGGCCAAGGCTACAAAGAGGACAGGCAGTAGCAGGTTCGACAGTGTACTTTTCCAGGCCCGGAGAGTGTGGCGAAGCCTCTTCATCAAGAGGGCAGCCATCTGTGATCGAAGCAGGTGGCCACCCCGCTCAAGCAGTACCCTCGTGGGAGCATCATCTGTGGTGACAGGATGATTTTAAAATGTTAGGAAACTTACAATCTAGGTAGGCAGTTAGTCACAGTAAGGCCTCAAGTTCTGACACTACAGAAAATAAGAGCATTCCTATGTATCAAAGGGAACAAACCTGGTCCTCTGTATGAGACTGTTCTAGAAAGGAGACATGTTTGATTATAAAATGAAACATCAAGAGCAAAGCATTCCACTGTGGATTCTATTCTCATCTTGCAGTTGAAGAAAAATGATGAAAACCAAGGGACCTTCCTTTATCTTTATTGGTTAAAGTCTGCTGCGTTAGCCATATTTATAACACCTCACTGCAAGCAACAGCAAGATTTTCAGTTCTGCCCCACGCAGATCTTCAGAACAGGGCATTCCTTCTAGGGTTCTGCCTCTGCTTCTCTCCTCCTATCTCCTTTCTTCTATGATCTTAACTGGAAACTCTTCCTGAAAATGTCCGAGGTTATGTCTGGGACATGATTTGAATAAGAGCCATTATAGGCGCCTTTCCTCACTCCTGGTGTGGCACTGTAGGATCAGCAGAGGACTACAAACCACAAGGTCTGGATCAAAGCCACCAGCTGCTCCTCAGAAACCCTATACAGTGTCACTATGATTCGGAACCCACTCAATGGCACTTAACAACAAAAACAAACACACTTTAGGGCCCTAACTACCCCACCCAGCTCCCACACCTTATGATCTTCCATTCATGCCCTCTAAGTTGAGAATACCACAGGTACTGTGAGCCCCTCATACAGCTTTCATGTGAGCCCAGGGTGCCTTCTGTCTAACTACAATCTACCCCTTATCCCAGCAGTCCTCAGCTCTTTGCTTCCTCCATCATTACTCTTATGGGCACAGAGCAATTCTGAAAACAGAGACTAAAAAGTTAAATTTAAAAGAAAAGTATAATTTGTGTTGACATCAGTTTAATGACTATCAGGAGTGACCAAGTGAAGACTCCAGTAAAAAATCTCCATAAAGCTGTCCGAGTTTAAGCCAATGGCTACAAAGAAAGTTGTTGAAAACAACCTTTAAACACAATGTGGTAAGGAGAAGTCAGGAGCAGAAAGGGAGGCAGACCCAATGACTATAATCTCCAACTGTGTCTAAAGGGAAGGGAACAGCTGGACAGACCAGCTATATCAATAATTTTTCCAGCAATTATCTCGAAATTATTCCAGAAAATCCAATATAAAATATATTAAAAGAAAAGTGGTTTTGTAAAAGAACAGATGTTCTAAATTGATTTTACAGTTCACAAACACCAAATTGAAATACAATTAGAAGAGCAGTGTCCAAATATGAGGAACCAAAGGAAAACATTTTAAAGAAATGATCCCAGTTTGAGAGATAAATTATTTGTAATAGCACCATGACTAGAACTTTCGGAACAGAGTTGGGAATAAAAATGTATACCTGAAATGACTCCCTTCATACAGCAGATATATAATGAATTCCAAATGTGTGTAAGACACTGGTTTTTGTCCTTGAAAGGGGCATAATCTAAGGGTAGCCATAAAATATATAAGATAATAACAGTATGTTGTTGTTGCTAAGTGCCTTCCAGTAGGTTCCGACCCATAGCAACCCTGTACAGAGTTTCCGAGGCTATAAATCTTTTCGGGAGCAGAAAGCCTCAACTTTCTCCCATGGAGTAGCTTTCAGTTTCAAACTGCTGACCTTAAAGTTCACAGCCTGATTCTTAACCACTATGCTATCAGAGAATTATTCCCTACTAGAATTGTCTACTAGAATTGGGCATGGCTTACAACATTGGTCAGAAGAAATGAGTAAGACCTTGGGATATTTGAGGATGTTGGAAGAAGTGCAGCCAGAGTGCTCCTTGGAGACCAAAATGGCCAACTTTCATCTCTCATACTTCGGACATATTGTCAGGAGGGACCAGTCACTGGAGAGGGATGTCATGTTTGGTAAGGTGGAGGGTCAAAGAAAAAGAGGAAGATCCCCAGCGAGATGGATTGGCAAATTGGCAGCATCAATGGGCTCAAGCGTAGCAACAATAGTGAGATTGGCCAAGGATCAGGCAGTGTTTCATTCTGCTGTGCATAAGACCGCTATGAGTCAGTACTGACTCAATGACACCTAACAACAACAGCAACCAGAAGCCACAGTTTACAGATTAGTCTTTAAGTAGCATCTTTTGGCATAATTTCACATTTAGCTACCATACTCAGCTCATGTCAACCTGTATACTATCTCATATGTATTTACAGCAGGCAGATGTCTGGAAATGCTTGTTTATGCAATGGAAAACAGGTTTTTGCTTATGTAGCTAGGAAACCCTACACAGTGTTGCTATAAGTGGGAACCAACTCGACAGCACTTAACAACAGCAACAACATGGTTGCTAAACACTTAGCAAAGTTGACTTGTTGACAAAGTAAGATTGAGGACAGAATCGGAAGACAAAGTACTCATGGCTTTCCTCACAGAAAATCATGAGAATCACTATGGGGTAAAGAAAATTAGGTCTTTCAATCCAGGTACACCTAGATTTTAATCCAGTTTTACTCATTATCATACAGTGTGACTTATTAAAAAATGATATAACCTATCTGAATGCCATTTCCTTAGTTGTAAAATGGAGACACCGTGTTTCCCTTCTAGATAATGAGAATTATTGCTATCACACTTACTGAGCTACCTACATCGACATAACTCTGATTTCCAGTCACATTTAATGTTAATCAAACAGCCTCAATTGTCTATGGAGAAAAGCATTTCTCATGCTGCTAAACTGTCATCATGTCAGTTCCAACTCCTAGCAACCCTGTGTAGGGTTTCAAGGAGTGGCTAGTGGACTTGAACTGCCTGACTTTGCTAAGTCCAGTGCTTATCAACTACAGCTATTTTCACTATCTTCATTTAACATAAACGAGAAAAAGGGCTAAGATACTGGGGGGTAAGGAATCAACCACCAGTCAGTCATGGATAAACCCATAAAAGTATTCACATGAATAATTTAACAAACAAAACTAAAAAAACATTGGACCAAATGGCTATGAATTGTCTTATTTGACTTGTGAGTACAATTACATCCATAATTATACCTTCCTATTTACTCTGACCATCACATTACTTGGGAAAAATGTCCAGGGATTATTTTTCCAGTAGGATCCAACTGTTCAAAACATGCTTTGAATATGATCTCCACATTACTAAATCCATTCAAATGTTCTGTGAGGTATTTCCAATAAGCCACTACCAAAGTAATGCTTTCAAGTGAACAAAAAATGAGGAATATTCTCAAAGAACAATATGAGTAAATATGGTGGTGGTGGTGGTGTGCCGTGGAGTCAGTTCTGACTCATAGCAACCCTATACAGGGTTTCTGAGGCAAGTATATGTATATTGAATTCATTAAAGAAGGATTCTTGAATTGTCAACACATAAATATTGCAAAATAAAATAACAGTAAGATTTATGTTTCACCTCCTCAATATGGTAAAGACTAAAAAGTTTTCAAGTCTAATATTACTGTAGTTTTAACCAATAACATAAACCCATATGTGTTTTGTTCATCACTCACTGTAAAGCACATACACAACACACACAAACCTCCATTGCTAACTCACCTTTGGCTTTTACAAATTACTAGTAAGTCAATCATAATATTATGCTGTTAATTCCTGGTTTGACAAAATAAATAGCTCCTGAATGTTTGTAACTCCTCAGGAAGCATAGTTCACTTGTGGACTCTGTTATTTTCAGCTTAAACTGTGTCTTAACATCAATAAAACTGCTTTGATTCAACTAAAAAATACCCTACTGCTGGGAGAAAAATATCTGTCTGGTCTTTCTGTGGGCACAAATATGGGCAATCTTTGATTCACTAACTTAGATTTAAGAGCTGATTTTTGAAAAATAAATTAAAATTGACCAAATGTATTAAACAACATTAAATTAATAGAACAATTTGGTGGATTTTTTTATTCTAATCCTTAAGATAGTATATTTGTCAACCTATTTAAAAATTTCTATTTCTTTGGGTTGTGAGATTATGGCTACTGTAATTTCCTCAATACTTTTCTGGGTTTCATGGAAAGAATATTTATTCATTTTAAAATCAGTAATTTTTTGTAAAGAGTGCATTTTATTCAAGAAATGAAGCACCATTTCATGCAATTAAAACAGTATAATTCTACACTAAATTACAGAATTTTAGAGTTCAAGCAGATTTTTTAAATAAAATAACTAAATGTTCACATGCTATTGTTAGATGCCATCGAGTCAGTATCAACTCATAGCCACCCTATGCACAACAGAACGAAACACTGCCTGGTCCTGGGCCAACCTCACAATCGTTGCCACGCTTGAGCCCATTGATGCTGCCACTTGGCCAATCCATCTTGCTGGGGGTCTTTCTCTTTTTCTCTGACCCTCCACCTTACCAACATGATATCCATCTCCAGTGACTGGTCCCTCCTGACATTATCTCTGAAGTATGAGAGACGAAGTTTGGCCATCCTGGCTTCCAAGGAGCACTCTGGCTGCACTTCTTCCAACACAGTTCTGTTTGTTCTTTTGGCCGTCCACGCCACTTCCAATATTCTTCTCCAACACCATAACTCAAAGCATCAATTCTTTTACGGTCTTCCTTATTCACTATCCAGCTTTCACATGTATATGAGGTTATTGAAAATACCATCCATGACTTGGGTCAAGTGCACCTTAGTCTTCAAGCTGATATCTTTGCTCTTCAATATTTTAAAAAGGTCCTATGCAACAGATTTGCC